TGATGTCAGGTCTCTGCGGGTTTCTGGGCAGAACCAAAAACAGACGTCACTTTGATTCTCACTTGTGATGGAGACGCAAAAAAAAAAATCCCCGCAAAGCGTTTGCAGAAACGTGGATCACATGTTGCTGGCGGATACGAAATGACACACACATTTTGGCCGGGATGAAAGCAAATAACGTGCCTCTCCTTCATCCAGAGCATCTGGATGGAAAGTAGCGATTCTATTGAAGTATTTATCACCACCAGAGCTTTACTGTTGAACCTTGAACACTGAAGAATTTCACCTAATTCCCCTCTAACATGATGGCTAATAAAGTTTTTGCAACTCTGGGTAGTAAGCTCTTCCCCAAACCTGCGTTTCAGAAATGCTTTAACTTTATTGTTTACCTTCAACGAGACACACAGGAAACCGAAAAACCCAAAACTTTTGAAAAACCGCAGCTTTGTGCACGACAATCGCACAGAGAAGAACAGCAGAGAGGTAAAAGCAAAAGAAAACCAGCAACAAAATGGAGAATACTCTCAAAACAAAAAGAACCTCAGATCAAAATAGCTTCCTCCTGTTTTTCTCAGTTTTTTTTTCCTTTCTAGACAGGAAAAATCACACATCCAATCAGCTGGTTTTCTGTTATGTTCGGAAATGGCTGGAAACATTTCTGGAGTTCTGGAGGTTCTTGGCACATTAGCTGAATCTCAGGCCTTGATTTAATAAATGATGCTCCTCAGATCTTCCAATAAAAACCCAGAGATGACCAGAAACACTGAGGAGACACTAAACGATGATGACAGGACCTTGTTACATTTTTACGTTTAAATATGCGTATGATATCTGCTTAAAAAAAGAGAGCGAGCTTTCTGCCACTGGCAGGTAACGTGGAGCCCAAAGTAATAAATAAACGAACTCCCATCACGTGCAAACTAAACAGAAAAGCTTTAAAAAGCCGGCAAAAAAAAAAGCAAGAGTTATTAGAAAATGTCAAACGAAAAAACAGGATTTGACGATTGTGACCAAACAGTGAGAAGCCAAAAGAACGATGGAAATGGGATTTCCATAAAAAAAAAAAAAAAAAAAAATCAAAGAAAAACCACCACTGGCACCTTAAAAAAAAGGGGAAAATGGATGGAGCAGCAGCTAGCTTAGGGGAGCAGTCAGACGATGCTTCACCAGGAAAACGAACTCAACTCAGCAGTCACTCACAACATGGAGGTGGTGTCACACGGGGTCGGAGGTCATTTCCCCTCCAGGAAAAGGGCTCAAACCCCTCTCCAGGGAAGACGTCGGCTCATTCCGATGGTCGGAAATCACCCTGGATCTCAGATTCATAATGGAAATGGGAAAAAAGTTAGATTTTAGCTCATTTTTTCATAGGAAAAAAAACATTTTTATAAGGCATTGAGTACCTGGGCTTAAATCTGCATCTGGACCAACATCTTCCATCATTTTACATTACAGGCTGTAAGAATAACTCCAACACAGATTAAAGGTGTTCACACCCACTGACCAACCGATAGTCTCGTAAAAACGTCCGACAGAAAGAAGACCCTGGAAGCTTTCTGCTCACTTTTCATAACATCTTTATTGAATTTGTGTCTCGGTTTTAATCATATTTACAGATAACTTATTTTTACTTTGTAGTCCAGTAAAAATGCAAATACAGAACACTCAGTTTTCAAAATGAACATGGCTCCCAGCGACCTCACGCGCACCCAACTTTCCTCCTTATATATATATATAAATCTGTGTATATATATATATGTATATGTGCGTGTGTGTGTGTGTGTGTGTGTGGTGATGATGTCAGGGACCGGAAGAGATAGCAGGAGAGCCAAATCTGAGCTGCAACAACGGGTCCAGAGGGGAGCCGGGTGGTGGGTGGATGGATGGATGAAGAGGAGTGTGTGTGTGTGTGTCTTTTAAGCTTCTCGGGTAAAGAAAGCTCAGCCTGTCGCTGCCTCGGTTTTGGCCTTCTTTGCACTGGTCGCGCGTTTCTGAACCTCTTTTTATGTCCAACTGGCGAAAACTGCGTCGGGGTAAATGGGCCGAGAGAAGGAGCTGAAAAGACCTTTGCTGAGCGGAACTTTTCTCGCCCTGTGGCATGATCTGGCAACTTTTTTTGCGTGAAAAAAACGTGAAAGCTGTGTCGGTTTATTTCTAAATAAATAAAGTCACAGGAGGCCTTTTTTTTTATCTCAGAAGACAAAGGGGGAAATTCCATGTCTGAATATCCCAGCATGCTAGAGATGAGGGGGCCCATTTCTCAGGCTTTATCGGCGCCATCTTGGATTGGACGGGCTCAGGGAGCTGTCCGTGGTGCTGAAAACCACAAACAGCCAACCTCCCGAATTGCTGCTGCAACCTTCTGTGTAGATAACTTTTGATATATTTCTGACTCTGCTCTTCTCTGATATGCCACACGACTACCATCCCACTAATGAAACCTGCCCCTTGATCCAATATGGCGGCTTTCGAGATGGCGGACAAGTTCTGGAAACAGCCTGAGAGAAAGCCCCACCCCCACCCATTAAGTCTGGGGGGGAATTCTGGTTGTTGTCCTGTGACTTTTCACTCACCCTGTTTTTCTATAGGGCACAAAGTGAAAAACAAAAACGATAGAAGAGCAGAATAAGTCCGACTATAGGGCTAAAAAAAGGCTTTTTGTGTTTGCGAAATCAAGAAGGAACAAATCTGCAACCTGAACGGTTTCAGGTGGTGGATCTGACTTCACAACCCGCCCGTCTCCACGGGCAAAAATACAGATTCAATCAGGTGAAGAAGCAGTGGCAAAGAAACGAGGAGTGTAGGTTATGCATTAGAGGTCTGCTGGCCTCTAATTTTGGTCCTTTTCTGATGCTGTTAACTGCAATACTGCCATGATTATTATTATTCATCAGTGTCTCTGATTAAACTCGGCTCGTTCAGTGCAAAAACGAACGGAAAATAAGGATCTCTGAAGCTCCTCCGGAGCAGATGGTGCATCAGAGCGGCCAAAATAAACCCAAAGAAAAAAAAGATCCAGTCTTCAGCTCACTCTGCTAATCGGCAGTCGTCCCCGTCTCCCCCCGAAAATATCAAACCTTCATCTGTTTTTTTCCTGAAAAGAAAACGTGGGGGTGGTGGTGGGGGGGGGACTTCTGTTTCCAGCCACTGGTTTTATTTATAGATTACTGGCTTTCAAATCCATCCCTCCGAGGTCTCTTTGCCTTTGATTTGGTTTGGTTTTTGTGGTTTAGATTTAGCATATTCCACTTTCACAGTATTTAAGTTGAACTTGCTTGTGTTTTGGTTCCATTTGATTTAGCTTTTTTTAAATTTTTGTTTATTGTAATCCCGCTTTAAGCGGTTTCAAGAGCTACAGGTTCGAGTGAGGGTCACATCAAATGTTTGAACCCTTCTGCTTCAGACATTTTTAGTACTTTAACGTGGACTATTTTATGGAAGCATCTCCAGTTTGGCATAAACCTCAGCCATGGCGGAGAGGATGCTCGCGGGGCAGAGAGAAAACATCATAATAATTTACAAAAAATGGGGGGGTGGAACAGTCAAATAAAGGTCAAAGGTCACTGAAGCAGCAACTCAGATCAGAGGAGTTTTTTGGAGCTGAAAACAATAAGGAACCGGTACATATTCACATTACGGTTGAACACATTTAGGGTCTGACAGCTTTTGTTTGAACGTCTTAGCATGTGAGGTCAGATATCTAAAGGATTCAATCTGTAATAGCGTGAGGAGTCAACGTAACAAAGGCGGGAAAAGGGGTGCAGCCGAGCCGTGTTTGTACTGAGAAAAGGCGACGCGAGGGCTCAGCGGGGAGGCGTAACGTCTTCATTCATTCACCTCTTTCAGTGCCTCTGCTCGTTTTCCCATCCTTATCGTACAAAGTGCTCAAACACATGAGTTGCAGCAGGGTTTGCTTGTTCTTTTTTCTTTTTCAGACACCTGTAAAAAGCATGGCCGAGGAGGAGCCTGGCCTCACGCCGTAAGGCCGGAATATAACCTGATTTGTGAGAGCTGAGAGATCTGCTGGGGAGATATGTCATGAGACGGACGATCAGAAGAACTGCAGAAACATGGAAAAGCAGCATCTAATCGAGTAGCAGCAGAATGGTTGGGAGTGGTGCGTCTGGTAGGATGTGGAGAGGGGGGGAGCATGAGGACGCCTGCTGCTGGCCGTGTAATCACTGTCCCACTTCCAATGGTCCGCTTTTCTAAAAATGGAGGATTGGAGGAGCTGCTGTATCCACCTGCCCTGACAGGGAGGATCCATATATAGTTCCAGGTCGGCGCTGGTTGGATGAAGCATAAACGGGACGCGGGGGGCCGGGCCGGGGAGAAGCGGAGGGCTTTGATTCACCCTGTGTCTCCAGTAACAATTAATCCCAAAAAACCAAAACAACCCCCATCCCCCCACACACAAAAACAAGGACACGTCTCACCAACAGACCCTGTGAAGTCCTCCAGGCTGTCTACTTGGAGAGTTTAAGAGAAAGAAACCCCACCCCCCTTTCATCAGGTCAGAGTCAGGCCGACTCTAGTCCCTCTTTATGCACTCTGGGTGCCGCGGCTCGCCTCTGGAGAGGAGGAAAGTTTGGTCAAATGAAGACTAAGAAGTAACAAAAAAAACTAAGTCAAGCCTCTTTTTGGGAGCTCTTTCCCTCAGAGAGAGTCACGTTAGGCCATCGGAGGCTGAGCAGCACACCCACCGTCCTCCTGACTGAAGCAGTGAACACGGATCGAAACCTCAGAGTGAGACATGGAGGAAGAAAAGGAGGTGGGGGGGGGGTGACGGAGAGCCCCCACCCCCTCCACCCCCCCCTCTCTGACACGGTCCCCTCCGTCTCCCAAACTCCTGCGATCCGTTTTCATGTGAGAGTCTGAATGAGAGTTTGTCGGGTGTTGGTGGGTTGGTGTTTTTTTGAGGGGTAAGGGAGGCGAGGAGGGGGGGGCAGAAAGGTGGCGCCCCCTGGTGGTGTGGTGGAGGAGCAGAAGGGCCCGTGAGTCTACCGCTGGGCGGGTTCGCTGCCCGGCAGGGTGATGTTGCCCAGGTGGAGGACGGGCAGCGGGTGGGCCTCCGTGTTGAAAACCCAGCTCTCCAGAGGCATCAGGTCGTCACTGGAGAAGAGCAGGTACAGATACCTGATGGAGGGGGGGGGGAGAAGAAGGACATGAATACTACACGGAGCCGAGCAGGTGAGAGCAGCTTTAGCCTTTTCTCCATCTCTGGCTGACTAACAGCCGACGCTTACAAATGCGGAAAACATGCGATTATCTGCCGCCACACATTTCCCCTTCCTCCTGTTCTGAGCAACGGCACAAATATGGGATTTCTAGGCACACATGGCGCTTCTCTTTGTGGTCATGTGGCTGTGTCTGAGATTAGTTTTCCTCTTTTGTACTTTCGGCCTGATAAAGCCGATTAAAACCTTTAAAACAAAAAGCACAAATCCATTTCCTGCTAATTCTTGGAATTTTAAATGAGGGAGCTGTGTAAGTAAAAATGCCAAAACTGTTACTCCATCGCCTGCTGTTCGACACGTGGGGTGGAGAAGAGTTTGGTGTCAGGGGGGAAAATAAAACCTGAAACATGGAAGTGATGTGCTGCCAGGACAAGTAAAAACAAGCCCCCCCCCTCCCTGAATACAGTCCCAGGCCTTTTTTCTGTGTCCTGCTCACTGTGGCTGCTGTTTCTTAAGCTTTTCCTCACTTCAGTCTGATTCTACCTGACATGAAGAGTGTAGAAAAAAGGGGATAAAGAGAAAATGTAGAGGTTTTCTTGGATGCCACCTCTCATGGCAGCCTATGTGCTTTAAAGGACACCGAGGACACCTGACGGCTTTCTTGACTGTTCGTCATACGCTGTATCCCATCTGATTACCGTAGGAAATAGCCTGGGATGGGGGGGTGGTGTGATGGTGTGAGGTGGGGGGGGTTAAATGCCACAAGGCGGCCAGCAGAGGGACACAGAGAGCCACACTGTCAGGGTGCCGCCGACAGCCCGACGACTGAGGCTGTATTTAGAAATCCTCATGAATATTAAAGGACTACTGATCGGCCATCTGTCTAATTTACCGACTCGACAATATTAACACGGAGATCTGCTTTTGAATGAAATCGCCATCTTTCGGATTTGGGTAAAAGCCTGGACCAAAAGATGGAGTCTAATTTAACCTTTCTGGGCCGGCACGTCTCTCCCCTCTTTCTGATCGGGAAAAAGGCCTCAGCCGGAGTCGGAAGAATTCTTTTTGGGTTCCCTCACAACAGAAGCGGAAACTCTCGGGGAGATGGGGAGAAATCGGAGCTGCTTACTTGAGCGTCTCGGCCAGGAAGAAGCTCTGCTGCACGTCGTCGTAGGTCGGGTTGGACGAGTAGACGTCCTTCACTCCGGAGAAGCCTCCACTCACCCGGCAGTACTTATCGATAGCCTGGAGGAAGAGGAGGAAGAGAGGAGGAGCAGGAGGAAGAGGAGGGGCGGGGGTCGTAGAACAAGGAAGGGAAGGTGGTGCCAGGGAAACGGGATATAAATGTGAGGGAGAAAAGGAGAAAAAAACATGTGAAAAGTGAGAAAAAAAGGTGACGGAAAAGAGGAAGAATTGAGAAGTGAGGTGAAAAAGAAAAAGGCGAGGGAAGAAAAAGGCGGTTTTGATACGTTTATGGGAGCACGCTTTAATTAATTTCCTTGCTTGTGACAGAATGGAGGAGTGGGGGGGTGGATGTGGAGGGAAAACCCATTTCATCCTCTGCGTTGGTCTCTTTCTACACACAGCAGCCTTCAGTCACCTTTTCGCTTCCTCTATTTGTGTTTGAGGCTCTGAGAGCCCTTTTTTAAAACATTTATTAGGCGCCCTCATCTTGTTGTCTTTTGGCCTTGAACTGCTGATTCCCACAAAATGCTAATGAGCATCCAGTCAAACCTTTGAGACTCCTCTCATTTTGTTGGAGCTGCAAAACCTTTAAAGACTCTAAAGCCCTAAAAACCAGGAGACTTTGTTACACGGATCCTGCTTTTCTCACATTATTGATCAGGATTAGAAAAAACAAAACAAAAAACATCATCCAGGGATTTCCTGCTCGGTCATGTGTCCACTTTGGCGTGCGGCCTGGATCTACTGAGGGAAACTCTGGACATCCACCTCATGAATTCATCACGCTGTCGTCGATCAGCTCCTAAATATTCAGACTTGTGTCTGAGAGCGTCCGGCTGGTGATGCAGGCGGTTTGCGCCTCGCTTTGTTTCGCTCCTGTTTACGGCTTATCGGGTTTCTTCCGTCCTTTTTCGGCTCCCCGTCCCCCGCACGCGCTCATAAATAAAGGCTGTCCTCAGGTGACCGCGCTGCTGTGGGCAGACCTGGATCATGGTTCCTGTTATTCATGGGCCGCTGCCCCCGGCATGAGTTTGCCCTTCTCCATCCGTACCGCAGTGTCCCGCAGCTGCCCGCGACACACTCACACACTCACTACACACTCACACACTCACTACACAGCCAGGAAACAGGACCACATCGGTCCAGGGCTCGGGTCTCTGCACGGGCTTCCTGTCACTCAGGGACCGAAATGCCTTTCTGACCTGTTATCAACCAGCTTGGACTCTTGAGAACCAGGTTCTGGTCTCCTGATGGGGCCCTGGAGTCAGAACTAAACAAGGTGAAGCATCATCTCAGTTCCAGACTCCTAAAATCTTCCTGTCTCGAGTCTTCCTGAAGACCTGAGACAGGCCCCAACTCTGACAATGTTTAAATCCAGGCTGAAAACTGTTCTAATTAACTGTGAGTATGGAAATATGAATGTATTTTATCTGCACCCTTCACTTTTTAATCTATCTAATTTCTCTAATTGTTGATTCTTTTTTCTTTAATATCCAAAAGGCAGAAAACAGAAGCTGTTTCAGGGCTGTGCACTCCAGCAAAGCAGCACGTTTAGCTCCTCTCCTCCGTTCACACAATGTTTAGCAGGATTAAGACTGCTCAAGGCTCCCCAAAACAGGGAAAAACTCACTAAAATGACAATAAAACAAAACTACATTGTTTTCCTTCATTTGCTTTGAATTACTAAGCTGTTAAAATGTTTTTAAAGCCTGTAAAATTTTTTCTGAATGTGTGTATGAGGAAGGTTAAATAATGCAGGCTTAGACGAGGCCTTCAGGACCAGCTCTCTCTAGTGTCACTCTCACTCGTTTGGCACCGGTATTCACATGCCTTCACTCCTGCTAAAATAAGCAAAGAGCTCCAAAAAAAACAGAGAATCTAAAGGTGGCAACAGCAGTTTGAGGAAAAGAGACCGAGGAAAAAGGCTGAGGATGAGATTAAGAGGAGCTGACGACCGGGTGGAAGCCTTTATTCCTCTCTCAGAGGGGGGAGAGGGCTCATTTCTGCTCCACTTTCGTCAACATTTCCCCATAAAACACGTCCGACGTGTCTTGCCGTCTTTCGAGCTCGGAGAAACAAAAGTCGATCCCTGTGAACAAAATGAGAGCTGCTTCTTTAAGTCCTTTTGGTTTTCAGATCACACCTGCTGGATTCAGAAACTCAAGGGCGTTCGGTTACAGCCAATCTAATTTTTTAAAATCTATTTTCTGGGAGTCCAAAAAAGCTATGCTCTTGTCTTTTGACTCAAAAGGTGAAGTCGGCTTCGGGCAGAAAACCCGTTTGCCATCTGTAATCGTTCGATAAACACCATATGAGGACATTTTCGTGTCATTAGTCTGCTTTAGTAATTAGATCAACTCTGTGTGCTGTAGCCTTCCACATGTGCTCCATGTGAGGTTTCCTGTGCAGATCTTTGAGCACAGCTGGATTCCTCAGGGAAATAACACTGAGCTGAACTCACCGAGGAGACCTCCAACATCACCAGATGGTTTTGTTTAACCAACTCAAATCAAACAGATCATCGGACCTCTCTGAGTAAAGAGGGGGGGTTCCTTACCTGCGCTGCCTCCCAGCCCCACTGCCTGTACTTTGGGTCGTGGGTGAACCTCCACATGTACCAGTAGGTCTCGATGACCTCCGGCCGCAGGATGTAGTACTTCTCGTTCTGCCGAACGGCCACCGCCTCCAGGCCGCTGTCGAACTTGAAGGCCTCAGGGCCCAGCTTCAGCACTGGAGAGGATAGAGGTGAGGGAGAGGGGTGATGGGGTGAGGGTGGGAGGAGGTGAAGGGGAAAATTGGAAAGGAACGAGATAAGATAGGAGAGGGAAGAAGAAAGACAGAGATGGAACAGAGAGAAAAAAAAAGAGAGACATCCAAAGAGACGGATTTAATTGAGACCAGCAAAGAAAAGGACAGGAGATGTTTGGAGGGGAGATGGGGGAGTAAATAAGGGAGGAGAAAAGGACGGGAGATAAGAGGAAAAATGATTAAGAACTAGGAAAGAGGACAGAAGGGATAAACATTATCTTTGGGTCCCTGTTTGTCTTAATGGTTCAGTTGCTGTCGATTACAAGTGAGTGCATGTGTGTGTGTTTGTTTGTCTGTGTGTCTGTGTGAGTGCATGTGTGTGTGTCTGTCTGTGTGAGTGTCTGTGTGTGTGTGAGTGCATGTGTGTGTGTCTGTGTGTGCATAATAAAAAGCATCCACCCGCTTTGATTTTACTGCCTTTTTATCTTTTAACAACCAGTGTTTTCTGCCAATTAAGTGTGATAAGTATGAAGAGCCTACATGTGGGAAACTGCTGAGACTGCTGAGATTATTACACACACACACATACACACACACATTCATGACCATTCATTAATAACAGACCGACATTCAGCTTCCTGGACACCCCCCCTCCTCCTCCTCTTCGTCCTGTCCAACCTGAATTCTCCATCTCCATTTGTTGCCACGGCAACCTCTCCTCCCCTCTCCCTGCGCTGGACTTCTCACACGACATCACACAACTGACCCGACGACAACCTGACTGCACCACGCAGGATTAATGGAGGCTGACGGCCGGCACAACAACAAACAAAACCAAAAAAAAGGAGCTGATTGCCGACATCTTTTCTCTGATTGGAGTTCAACGTTTAACTGACCGGCTGTTCGGTTTACGGGCTTTAAGGACCCTGAGAACTGACCCTAAATCTGTGGAAACTGGCACCCCAGCAGATGTGATGACACATTTCCCTGACATTGAGAATGCAGGCAGCTTCCATGAAAACGCTGGTTATCCTTTTCAGGCTGCTCCATTCAGCGCGAGAACATTTTATTCTGGCACACCTGGTTTTGGGAGCTCCCTCTGCTGGTTTTCAGCACGTCGTCAGGCAGCAATCAGATGCGCTTAGCTTTCCTTCACGGAGCCGATCTGGGCCTATGCTGGATGAACTCTGTAAAAGCTCGCCCAAACCACTGGCTGATGTCCCGAAATCCTCCTCTCACACGTCACTTTAAGCTGGATTCTGGTCATTTTGAGCATGTTCTTCCTGCCTGTTTATCGCCAGCTGCCGCAGTGGGCGGGGCCTCTGAGGACTTCCCAGGACCCCCGCACTTGTGTGTTTTTTTTTTTGTTCAAAACGTCTGAGGCAGAACAAACCTGGAAGTTCCTATGAAACAACCTATTAAATGCAGGCTGGAATCAGGTTGCAGGTCAAGGATTTTCCCTGAAACTGTCAACTAGAAAGCAGAGAAACGCAAAGGGATTCTGACTTAGTGACGCCCCCCCGCCCCCAGCTCCTGTCCCGCGTTGTGCCGGGGACAAAACCTGTGCTTTCAAACTACAGAGATGGCCTTCTTCAGCTCTAAAAATGGCCGAAAATTCACCTCGAAGACACGTTTCCTTCTCAAAAAACTGCTCCCTGTCCAAATACCATGCCTCGGTTTCATACTTATTGGATCTAGCTGGTCCCAAATATCAATAAAAACAGAAAGGCCTGCTGACTGCTGACAGAGCAGGCTGTGATTGCAGCACAATGAGCGCTCAGAGCTGCAGAAAAGATAGAAGCTAGCTGATAAATCCCATTTCCTTTCCCACAATCGGGATTGAAATCTTAGCAGGGCTCATCTAAGGGGGTGGGGGGGTAAAACTGAGCTGACGCTGCCTTGGAAAAGACCTCTTTAGTGTCAGGAGGGGCCCCCCCGGTGGGTTTCATCCGTTACTTCACAGCCTGAGGTACTTAATGCCCAGTTTATTTGCCTGAGCCAACTCACCCGTCCTGTCGTAGGACTCGTGGCAGGTGTGTGCGATCTCGGCCCCCAGCTGCAGGTAGTGCCCGGCCTTGTCGTCCGGCGAGCCGTCGGCGCCCAGGGCGAACATGCCCCCGGCGAAGCAGGCCAGGTGGCCCATCTTCCGCTCCAGGTGGCCGTTTTTCCACTCGCCGATGAAGGTCAGCCCGCCGTTGGACTTCCTTATGAGGTGGCGTTCGATGGCCTGAGGGGGGGGGGTAGAAAAGGAAAGGGTGCTGAATAAACGCTGCCATCACGGTTTGATCTCGGCCCCACTTTTTAAATTTATTTTTATTTTTATTTATCAAATCAGGACAGTGCACATTAACTCATTGACTGCCAGCCAATTTCAGAACAGAGAGTCCCATACTGCCAGAGTTTTTTGAGCATTTTGACTGATTTATCAAGAGCCACAGAATAGTTTGTGCTATGACTATGTAAACACCGAACACACCAAAAGAAAGATTAGACTCTCTTCTTTCATCAGGAAAAAAAAAATGTTTCTACCTTATTCCGTTTTTCCTCGACTTGCGTCTCACCGGCGACATGTTCTCTCATAGCGAACCGTTACCTTTTTCTTATTTACCTACAGTCTATGCTCATCTCCCATCAAAAGTGGCACTGCACCCTAGAGGGTCAATTTGTAAGTACATATTCTGTCTAGAAGCCTGATATTTACGGACAAGCTTTAGCAGATCGTCCCCCAGCCACTCTCGTTGAAAAACATAAAAGACGTCTATAGACGACTTTGGCAGCCAATGAGTTAATGAACAATCTTACACTTCTGTACAGATTGTAAATGAGCCAGAATATAGCATAGTTGCTAGTTTACAGCTGTTGTCCTAAGGCAGGACGACAAAACAACACAAAATCAGATAATACAACATCATTTAAGACAAACGTTCAGACAATGACATTACAACAATAAAATTAGTCAGTGCATGACTGGGAACTTTTAAGAAACTGTTTAAGGTGCTTTTTAAATGTGCGATAAGTGGGACATTCCCTGATGTTTGTTGACAGGCTGTTATATACCATACCTCGATGGCGTCGTCGTAGGTCTTGCGGGCCTCCGTGTCGGTCTTGTCGGACATGAGCCAGGCTTTCAGCAGGTACTCGTAGAAGCTGTCGCCGAGCCCTCCCACCGAGGTGTGGTCTGCAGAGAGAGGGAGGGGGTCACAGAGGGGAGAGAAAGGGGGAGGGACGGTCAGAATCGGTCACACGGGGGAACAAAAGGGGGACTATCAGTTTTCTTCGTCCACCGTATCTTTGGCGGCGTGATTCCTGTCTTTTTGGGCTTTGTTTACCAGCTCAATCATGTGCTCACATTTCAGGGTCCCCCGGTCGGCCTCAGAGTTTGCGAAGCTTTCGAGGCTGTCCTAATTTACAGCGCGCCACTGAGGGAAGATGGGATTTGGCCAATGTGGGGCAGAGTCAAAGCCATCCGGAAAACAGCCTCTCCTGAGGGCGGATTGAATGCCCTTCCCTGGAGTTTTTTCTGCAGTTTGGGGCGGTTTCAATCTCCCGCAAAGCACTACTGACAATATTTTCCAAAGAAAACTTAACTATGATTTCAAATTACCCAGAAACCATGGATAGTTCGCTTTAATCAACAACCCGGAAACATATTTCATCAAGATGTTACATAAAATGTTTTGAGTTAGCCGACTATGCTAACGATCCCTAACTCTGATCTAAAGGGAGGGAACCGAGGAAGGTACCGTCTTTGTTCTTCCTCTGGGGCAGAACGAGCCCAGGATCCTTCACCTTCTCACGGATGGAAACTTTTATTCACGTCTCACTTGGTTTGGTTAAACAGGACTATTTCTCATCCCCCGTGTGTGGAGATCTGTTTAGCGCTTTGTAATCAAATGAGATATCTGATCGCACGCTCCGTGTCTCATCATCAAGGAGATTCTTATCTGTTTTTGACTAACATGCCCGTGGGGAGATGATTGGATACTCACAGACGGGGAGCGAGAGAGAGAGACATGAATGAATTATTCATCTTCTGTCTTAAAAAAAAGAAAAAAAGAAGACATTACTAATGGCCAGCAGCTAAGAACTAAAATGTAAGTTGGAGTTAAACGCCTTTGAAAAGGGGAACCAGCTAACAGGAGAAGTCTGCTGATCCTCAGACACATTTATGAGAATCATCATAAATCAGGATGTGTTGTACATTACAGACATCCTCTGGGAGTGTTGACACACATCATACAGGATATTCTAATAAATTCAATTCCACACGGAAACCTGAAGAATTGCTGGTGTCTTTATCCGGAGTGCTTTAGCTGATTGATTGCAGCTGAAAACACTCCTAAAGGTGTCTTTCCAGATGGCTCGGGAAGCATTTTAGATTTTGTAGGGCTTAAAGAAGTGGGGAGAATCTGAAAATCTACAGGCTTAAGCACAAAAAAACACCTTTAATGTAAAATGTGTTGTGAAATGTGAAATCATTTCCTCTAATCCTGTTTCCATTTGTGTTAAAACTCCGCTGCCATATTTATGCTTCTTTTTTTAATCCTCATGAAGCACAAGATTTCATATTAGAAACAAACGCTTTTTGGGTTTTCCTTTCAAAATTGCCCGTGATTGCTCTGAGAGGCATCACAGAAAACACATCAAAACTCAACTGTGTGGCTACCAGGTCAAACTACTTTAGAGGATCCACCGGGACTTTCAAATGTCTGGAAAACTAACAATAACACTAACACTTGTGTGAAAAGCGGCACTTTTGTCATATTCATGCAAATAGTCGCAATTTCGATGCAAATGAATGTTAATATACACAAATTGTGGCCTGGAAAGGCGACTGTGGGTTTTGAGAATTTATGAGGATCCAGGTAGGCAAATAATTTGGGGCTTTAAATTTACATGGATCAAAACACCAGGCTGTATTTCAGTCTCGCAATTCAAGGCCTGTGAGGTAAAATATATGGTTTAATTCCGGCTGTGTCGCTGGGAAATATTTCCTGCCGTCTTTTGGGGGATTTACTGTCCCGTCACTGTAGTTCTGTGTGTAAGAAATAAAAAAGAAAAAAGGGGATTGGGGATTCATCCTGCTCGTTGCCAGAGTTTCTCCTGCTGGGTTTACTAAGTTATCCTGTGTTTATTCTTTCTAAGCTGGTTATCTGAATCCACTCTGAGCATCAGCCTGGATTAAGAGGTTTACAGTAAAGAAAGAGACCCAAACGTCTGCACTCCTGGGCCACTTCCTCCTACCAGTATATTTCAATCATGGGGCGGAAAAAAAGAGAAGAGGGAAACGCACGTTTAAAATAAAAACTCTTTTGATTTACATCTCAATTACAACACACAGGTGCTCCCAGGTAGCAGTCAAAGGCTTTAATAGTCTGCTTAGTGTCCCTATTTTTTACAAGCCTCTATTAGCATTATTATAATCTTTTTTTAACTGTTATTTGTCAGAACTGTTAAAAAAGAGCATCACCACTCATAAAAAAGTCCATCTGCCCTAAGGTCTAAGGAGGAATGATTAAAGGAGACAAACAGAGAGAGATCTCCATGAACCGGCCTCAAAAGCCTGAGTGACTTGAGGGAAAACCAGAGGGGAATTTACACCGGGAACGCCACGGGATGAGCGGCATCCCAGAGTTCCAACCGACATCTTCTGCCGCTCGTTCCACCGCCGATCGGCCATTAAAGCTGCACACCGATATCGGTTTACGGCCACAAAAGCTGATGGGCTCTGGCGACAGACTCTCTCAGGCTGGTGGTTTGTGTTAATGAAAGCTCTCGTTTCCAACATGCTCCCATCCCCCAGCCTGGAAAACAGGAGGCTAAACGAATTTAAAGGGATGTGGCGTGTGCCTGTTTGACTCTGAATGCCTCACAGGTGCTCGGAAAAAACAAAAAAACAAAAACACACACTGCATTCTCTGTGGAGTCGTCTGTAAACAGACTGAACAATAATCAGAATACCAGGAGAATTGTGCGGGCTCGGCTATTTTTAGCAGACAAAGCCCGCTCAGAGTACGAGGGGCTGATGAACTCCGGAGCCCGCCCGGCCCTCCCAGATCCACTGTTTTCGGGAGCAGATGTCATTTATGGGAGTTGACTGGAGCTTTTTGAGCTGGAACCAAAGGCCTGGCGTCTCCATTAGCAGCACATGCAGGACTGTTACACGCTCCAGTTAGCAGCCCATCGCAGACAGCTCGTTAGCCCAACAACACCGAAGCCCAGCTTTGAAAACAACTCTGGAGATGCTTTATTACATTATTATACGGGTTAGCTCGGAATTTCTTTCTAACTGGTTAAAAAGCAGTTTGGTTTTTTTTGGGCTACTTATTGTTTTTTCAAAATACAGTGTGAATTAGTGCTAATATATTTCAATGTGAGGTAATTTAGGATTTTATCTGACCAATAAGGCTGTTAATAATGGCTTTTGTTGGCCTTTAAGAGTGAGAACCATTCAGAAATGCGCAAAATTCTTCATAGAAAAAGATTCAAAAATGTTTTTAAACCAAGTCTTTCTGTCTTTGCCGACCACTCAGATCTGCACCACATCAGCTTCTTTTCTTGTTGAAACAAACCCTTACAGACAAGGATCAGCATGTCCTAACCTCACCCAAACATCTTTTATTCATACGACACCATTTCTTATTTATTTATTCTTCATTTTCTGTTGCTCTGGTGTTGATGAAGCTGAGCGTTGATAGTCTCTGATTTCTTCTGCTGGCTCTGTGTTGGCTGGGCTTTTCTCCCTACGCCTCGGGCTGCGTTTCCCATCAAAGGGCCCTGATTTTCCTTTCTCCAAACCCTGCAAAGCACACTCTGCACTGCGGCGCATCGGACTGGGAGCCGTTCCCTCGCTGCCTAATCCGAACCTGGAAATCTTTGCGTGAAGTTTTCTCCTTTTCTTTTTTAATCTTTAAAAATATTCCTAACGATTTCCAAGCACTGACGTTTGTGTCTAATCTGTTGAGCTGAGGCTGGAAACGCGGTGGGATGTGGGCGAACGGTGAGGGCCCCGAGCAACGTGCACCACGTGCGCGCGCACATCCGTCAACACCTGCCAACTCTCCATCTGTTAATGGACTCCTCCATCCATCAGTCAATCTGCTCCCCCTCCGTCTTCTCTCCGGTCGTTCCCCTGCTCTTTTTGGCTCAAAGTCTGTGCACTTAGAAGCCTCCCTGCCAAGTCATCCACCCATCCATCCATCCATCTATTAACCAGCTCTCCGTTTATTTATCGGACGCCGAGTGCCCTTCATTGGTTTTGTCAAAAAAGTTAAACAAATAAGCAGAAATGTATTCTGCCTGGGCCTCAACAGCCAAGAAAATCTATTCCCATTTTGAAATTGAGTAGATTCAATATGGCACACACGCACGCTTAAATACACCCACTGTTTTGAATCTTAATAGACTTTGTCTTTTAATTTCCTCTCGCTGAACGGAAGATCGGATTGATATCTGATCCACATTAAAAATAGAAAAAAACATTTTAAAAAATGCTGATGTTTTTCGCTGACTAACCCTTTAACGTAGCAGTCTCTATTAACGCCTGATCAGGCTCAAAAAACGTTAACAGAAATTATTAAAATCTCACGACTGTTATTGAGAGCTGCCTCACAATAACACGAATACACAATTTAAGTCACAGAAATATAAGCATGTGACAAGAAAAGCTTTTTTTTTTTTTTTTTTTTTTTTTTTTAAAAGCCTGGACTCCTGTAAAAGTGGCCAAAAAAGGACTCTGGCTGTTTCTTTCTTCACTCTGTGAGTAACTGTAAGTGACAGAATTCTGAACACTGACAAAGTCTGTCAAATCTATTTTAGATGTGAATCTCCTTTTACTTCTGCTTTTCTGTTTGTTTGTGTCATGTTGAGCAGCGAGGCCTCAATTGGTGATTTTTATTGGCTTTGACTCAAAAAGCTGTTTGTGTTACCTGAATTTGAGGGATTACATAACCGCACTAGGCCGCTGTGTGCAGAGAGACTACAAAAGAAGAGCCACGGCTTGTTGGAGGCTTTTTGTGAGTGTTGAAGAGAATTTCAAATCATAGTTTTCTTAATCCACCCCCCCAAAAAAAACCTGTTGGTATAACAATATAGAGAGTGATGAAGGCAAACCAGCGCTAACTGGTTCCTCTTCCTGCTGATGCTGTTTAAGGTGGAGTTAAAGAAAGTTTTAGGTCTGCATTAACTAGAAATGATGTTTTTTTCGAACGAGAAACCAGCCCGGCTTAACTCCCCATCTGAAAGCCGTTCATTTCCCCGGGCAGGGGGCCAAACGGGATCGACATAGTGGGAACACTGCGTTCCTGCTCTTCAATCTTCTCCCGCTTGATTCAATTTGTTCACATTAACGGGGATCCATTCTGCTCCTGCTTTTTCCAGCGTGTGGAGTTAATCTTTTCTTCTGAGGGGACGATCATCTGAAGGAGCTCTCAGGAGCGTCTTGACACTACCTAAGTACTAATACCCCCCCTCATTTACATGAGTGATGACCCAGGAATTCATATAAATTCTGAAAGTCATCTGAAATGTCCCGCTTGCTGAACACCATTCGTTTCCCACAGGTTCAGGAGGTTAGAGGCTGACTGGGGGTTACTTACGCTGGCCCCAGCGGCCCGTGCGGGGGTTCAGGTAGTTCGGGTAGAGCCCGTTGGGTCGGTCCATTTTGGCCAGCAGCTTGCGGATGTGCATCACCTGAGAAAGAAGACAAGAGAACACGGGCCCGATTTTAACTCGGGATCTTATTTTCACACCGCTTTTCTTCCTTAAACGGCACAGAAAGAAGATATGTATGTTGGAAAAAAAGGGATTCACCTTTTGGTAGTAGGCAGGGTTTCCGGTCAGGTACGTGAGGTGAACAAACTCCATGTGGAGGGTCCCGAACTCGGCCAGGATGCTGCTGCCCGCCGAAGCCCAGCCCCAGTTACGACCAACGCCGCTGGGGACAGAAAGAGACGGTCAAACCACAGGAACGAATCAGGAAGTCGGAAAGATTTGCACTTTGTCATCACTAGCAAATCATACCCAGTTTAAACTTTGAATGAAAGCCTCATAGACAGCTTTACGAGTCCTCAGACTGTATGTTTTGAAGACCACATTTCAGGCTGTACTTTAAAAATAATCCAGAAAAAAAAAGTAAAGACATTGATACATCCTTATATCTGATCCTAAAGTCAGTCCCAGGAGAATAAAAACTTTTTTTGGCGGGGTCAGCCGGTTAAAAGTCTCATTTTCTAAGCGGTTCTGATCTAAAGAGGATTTTTGGCTGCTTTATACCTCCTAAAATCTTTATCTCCACCCTGGCTACAGCATCTGCTGAATGATGCTGTGAAATGAAATTGAAACACTTCTTCTCCTGTTTTAGCTTTGTGTGTCAAAGCAAACATTTATTAGGAGCTACAGCCTGCGCTTCCAAAGAAGGATATCATGCTTTTCCAGTAATTTCTTTGTCTTCCAGAAGTCTGACAGAATCTTGGTCCCTGAATGCAGCATGATATCAGTATCAAGGCTTCTAGTTCAGATAGTTTACTGGTTGAAACCAGTGTCTTTTTTTTTGTCATCTTAGACTTTGGTTGTTAGGAAAATCCCCCAAAATAATGTTTCTAAAATAAATCTGCAGCATGATCTTGAGGAGGAATCAACAGTTTTCAGTAAAAATGTGTGTATGGAGAGACAGAGTTAACGAGCAGTCGGCCTTTATTCATGTGTGAGGAGAGAAATGCTTTCAGTTCGGTAACATTAAGCGTTTCTTTTTTTATGTGGCTGTAAAACTGGGGGAAAAAAAAGCAGGTGAGTCATTTGTGTATCTGGTGATGATTCCTGTTTTGTTCCGGCGGGCTGTTACGAATCTGTGAATGCGTGCGGCGTGTTTTCGTCTGGTGGGAGATTAATTCAAAACACAACGTGTTGGTTCTCTGACAAATTAGGAATTATCATGAGAAAAAACGGGCCCCTGTCTGGTTTCACTTTAATTCTCACCAGGGTGCTGCCCCTCACAGAGGCTGGGTGCTTAGCAACGAAATGCCGAGCAGACTTGTGGAGGAATGTGTTTTTCTGTCCGTGTGTGACGCTTTGAAGAAAGTAAGTCAGCATTTCTAACACAGAGGATGCTCCTGCAGACCGGCTCCCTTTTCCTTTACAGGTAAAACAGTATGAGGCCGGCACCAGGAGCCGAAAGGCGCAGAGAGGTGATGATCAACGCTTTAAGGCCGTCTGCAGCCTCTCATTGTTCTTAAAGCGGACCCTTTCAGGCTGAAGTGTGAGAGCTGCTGCTTTGGGAATAGAACGGTGGTTCTACGGGATCCACATTGTCCTGCGATTCCAGCAGCGTTTGTGCACGCCCACACAGCCCCGTGAAGAGGCCCAATCAGAAAAAATAGGAAAGAGAACGGCGTGGGCGGCTGTGCGTGCGCTGGTGCCGTCAGAACCTCTGACATTAGAGCAAATCCACCTAAAACGTTATTCAGGAGTTCAATTTCACAGCCTTCAGCGCTTCTGCTTTATGAAATTAGGCTGGATGAACTTTCTTGAGATTCTGAAACAATGTTTCCATTTCAACAAGAACATAGAAAGAGATTATAAGCTTGACTTACACAATAGTTATTTATGCTAATCAAATATTAGTGAGACAGAACTAAAATTATTATAACAGATATAACAGAGGTATTGCTTTATGACTTAATGTGCTGTCAGAACTCATTTTGGACCCTTTCCATTTGTTTAGACTAAACCTGTCCAGTGTAAACACACTTATAGATACAAGCCCAGCCTAAAGTGACCAATCCCCAGTCAAATCAGCAGTTTCCCCAAAGAAAATGAATGTTTTCTAAACATTCCTCCTCCATCAGCCTTTAAAAAAGGGGGCGCCCGCACATCAGAGGGCTTTAAGTCCCGAGGGTTTTCTGTGGTTTAAATATGTATGTCCTGAAATAGAGGCTGAGCATCGGCATGAAACTTAAAAACGGATTTTAAAACGGCCCGTCTGAGCTCATTCTGTCTCCGTTTCACGAGCCGACGGCCTCAATGGTGGAGTCACTGACCTCTTGAGGTTGACCATGGCCCAGGGGATCCCGGTGGGGGTGTTAAAAGCAGGAAGGAGCTTCTCCGCCAGCTGCACCGCCTTCAGTTTGAACATCTGGAAGGAAAAAAAGGAGAAGAGGGAGTTTAGGGACCGATTCATTTATTGACTCATTTTCTACCGAGCTCATTCGGACTGCTGCTTAATATCAACCCCCAGACAGCCGGACGTCCCGGCGTAAGACGACTGCCGGCACCCAGACCGACCCGGAGCCGGAAAAAAAAAATGCTCGGAGCTCAAAGCGGGCGATGGGAATCCTGTCAGCGGATTAGGCAATAATCGGTGGATGATTTGGTCTTTGCGGGGTGTGTGCTTATTACTTCAAGTCCAATTCACCTCACAGCCCGCATTTATGGGTTGAAACTAAAGGAAAAACACACATGCGGTCTATTCCAATAAAAGGTCTGCGGAGGGTGTGAAGTTCACACTCTTTTGCCACGTGTTTCCGAGCGGAGGAGCTCCACGGAGACGAGGTCTCGCAGAGACGACAGATCTATGGAAAACGCCTGCTGTCTCAGAGTGTGAGCGGGAGCAATAACACACGCCGGCGTTTGCGGAATACTTAACCAGCCGGCGGGGCACTGAGGAGAGGGACTTTGGAGGTCAAACTGTGGAGTTAAACTCGTGGCAAACAAAGACGAGTCGGGAACAGAGCTGTCAAGCAGAGTCCCAGCTGAGGCCGGCCGGCTGCCGTTTGATCTGGATGGGATCTGCATTAATGGGAGAGACGGAGCACCCGCTCGGAGGCTAACGGATCAGAGAGGCGCGGTCTTATGATCACATCACTCCAGAGGAGGATGTGATCACCAGGACTTCTGTCTGACTTCTCCTTATATAGTCGCCTGTATCTCAGCCCTCGATTAGAAGGCGGAAATGCTCAGTTTTTCGGCTAAATAATTGACAGTGGGTCCCAAAAGGCTGAATCAAGACAACCAAAAGTCTCCTCCATGTTCTTAAAGCCGTTTGAACTCTCATCCGAATGGTCTGAACACCATAAAGACGGCAAAATTTTGTCAAGCTGCCTCCAAAAGAGAATTTAAAGTTCCAATAAATGGTCAGAGTTTAATTTTAGAGCCCTTTAGTTTATGCATCTAAGTATCTTTGAGTCACCATTAGCATGCACCCAAATGAAACCATCTGAGAGAAGATAAAAAAATCTGCTTCTCTTGTTTTTTCTTCATGTTCTCTCCTAGCTGTGTCTGTTCCACCGATCGGCCAGTAAAAAAAAGCCAAAAGCTAGTGTTGCCACACAGACAAATGCCTCTTAGCTCAGCTGCAGTCTCATTAACATCGTCCAGATTCGCTGCGTTTCACATCTACGAGCTGAATGTAAAGACGTGTTATCTTCACCTGCCTGTGACCCGCATGGTGACTCCGGCCTGTCGCGTGTGCTCGTGGGCATCATAAAAACCTCTCCGTCTATCCGTGACCTCCCCGCTGGCTGCTTTTATTCGTCAGAGGAAGCCGCCTGCCGCCTTTCACAGATTAAACGCCACGCTTTACGATGATGTGACAGAAAAAGACGCCTTCTGGAGCGAAAACGGACAGAAACGTGGGAACGTGAACCCATAAAAAGGCAAGAAGCGGAGATCCTCCTTAATTAGCGTGTACACACATTCCTCCCATTGTTTGTTTTACTGGGAAGAACCGAGCCCGGCTCTTCGGGAAAAGAAATCCCAGCCTTTGTTATTCACTTGAAAGTCAGTCCCCTTCGCTCTGAGGGGGCTCCTGATCCCCGCGGCAGATCCAGGTGCACCTGCCCTGCTGACATCATATTTACGGGGGAAAGCGGAGATCAGGATGCCGAGCGCCCCCAGATAAAACCTCAGGGAGGACAAGCCCAGACAGATCGTTGTCTGTTATTTCCCTACATTGCATCGCGCACCCCCCCCCTCTCCCAAAGGGCTGACAGCTCCAGTGTCTTGGCTTTTTTAAATGCATTACAGCGCTCTTTAAAATCGATCTCTGACGGCTGCTGGCGCTCGCGCCGAAGCGCGTATGGATTTGAAACGCAATGGGCTCTGCCATAAATTCAGTCCATTTTGGTGATCCAACTAACGGAGGTTCCCCAAAGCCAAAGGATCGCCCTAAACGGTGTGGCTCAAAAAAGAAGATATGTAAAGCAAAGCCAATTGTTTAGTTTGTGCCACTCTAGGTAAGGTAACGGAGAGTAAAACATTAGATATTCTTTTTTGGACAATGTGGATGAAGGCCACATTAGTTCGATGGAAATGAGCTGAGGGGCTTGTGTTGGTCTCCCCACAACAAGCTGCTTTGTGTCCATTTTGGGTCCAAAAGCAGCACCTGGAGAATCGACCCCTTACTGACAGGGCTTGAGCTTTTCCTGGCTCTGAACTTAAACCTAAAAGTGCTGTGAGGCGGCTGTCTGAGCCGAGTATAAAGCCAGGCGGTTTACTACTACCTGGACTTGGATTGGGCTGCAGAGGGCTCGCTGCCATTTGGTTCTTTGGCAGTGGAAGGAAACCGAATTGAATGCATCCTCGGGCTGCCTCTAGTGTCCTGCGCTTGGCCTGCGCTCTCAGAGGTCATCAGTCTTCTTTGCGGTTTACGTCGCCAACAAACGGCGTCGTGGGACTTTTTCAGCCCCAACGACCAAAGGGCCGATCGGGTCTCGGCTAAAGTTGGAGGGTTTGCAGCTGGAACCAGTTTGCAACTTTCACTGAAAAATCTCCTTATTTAAAAAAAAAAACGAGAACAGATCCTCTGAAATTGACAAAATTGTGTCTCAATCTATCACTTAAATCAGGAAAAAAACTCAGATCAAACTGTGATTTTGATGGAAAAGGGCATGTCTCCTAATGTCTGAGCCGTTTTATTCCATGAAGAAGAGTGAGAGGACGGACCAAACACCCACAGATGGCTCCTGGCCTAACAACAAACACACTGAGGGAAAGTAGACTTCCTTAGTCCTACTTGTTATCTCCTTAACTGACCTAATGAGATCAACATTTTGCTCCTCGCTTGTCCCCGCGTGGAGAGCGCAGAGGGCCGCTGTCGACGTGTAATGGAGCCTCCTAAAAGGATTAGCGGGGAGACTGTGACATGCACTGAATTCGCCCGCTTGGTGGGATGGGCCCCGAGGGGCCGGCGGGAGCCACCGGATTAAGTCACCCGCCGTGTGTGTGTGTGTGTGTGTGTGTCTGTGTGTAGTCACCGGGTGTCACTTCCATACTGTGCCGTGCCAATCCCCCGTCAGCCGATCCGTTTTCTAATATTGCTCGGCGGCTCCCTGGCCCCGCATCAAAGGAAGGGAGAGGAACAATGGCGGGCCGCCGCGAGTAGGAACTCAAAAGGCCGTCGTCAAATTAGCTCGGCGAGCACTTCATTTGCTGCCGTCACAATGCACGAAACCGAGCGCTGACAAATGTGACGGAGATTTTTTTAAATTGAGCATTAACAGGAATGGAGCACTAATACCTTGGAAGGAAAAAAAAAAAAAAAAGAGGAGGCATGACTAATGAGTTGCTCTGCAGTGAGCGAGCCGGGCTGCTCTGCTGCAGAGCTGCTGCTTCTGCAGAAGCCAAATGAGTACGACCTGTTGAAACGACCAACAGCTTCCCAAAACTAGAAGAACCATTTTTAGGGTGAAATATACCTCTGACAACATGCCTTCATCATGAATGTCTGATTTAAGACGCGTTTATTGATCTCTTTTTTGTTTTTTCTCAGCATGGGCCCCTCCATTTCCCCTTGTTCTGCTTTAATCTATCATTTCTCCAACTTTAATTGTCCCTGACGGTTTTTTTTTTTCCACCTGGCGTCACGCCTTTCTCACTTGTTTTCCCCTTTGCTCAGACGAGTGTGAAAAAGCTGAAACGAGGCAGCGTCTCTCTGCTGTTCGGCTCTCAGCTCCTCGGTGTCCTTGCTCCTCGCCCGCCCGCCTGCTGGCACGGCGGCAGCAGCTTTTACTGAGCATGTCATCACGGCAATATTCTGCAACAGAGAAAATGATTCCCCGAGGAGAGCAGACAGCTGCGGCGAAAAACAAGTGGGGTGGCCTCAATATGTGCTGCTCCCTGAACAGGAAGGATGCCAAAACACCAAGGTCTGCCTTGCTTACTGTGATGTGCTTTTTTATTTTTTCCCCCCCCCCAATCAGCAAAGGCTATGGGGAACATATGCTTATCTATGTTGTCAGTTCCCCTGGTTCATTTGTAAGTTACCCATTTGATCTATCCCTAAAATTCACATCAAACTGGGGAAGAGGTTTTTAAATGTGTTGCCCCCTCCCCTGCGTGGAATAAGCTCATTCTAATCAAACGCATTAGAAAATAGCTATTCCTGCGTGCATCTTTAGTGTTACTTCTTGCGACCCGAGCTGCTGACTAGACAGGAACTCTCAAGTGTTTTGGATTTCCTTTAAAGAAATCTACATTTATTCAAGACCGCTGAGCAGATTTTGGGGATTTTGCAAGGTGTGAAATAACAAAGGATGCGAGAATGTCCACGGAGAGTTAGAGTTAGACGCACTGTTAATTAAGGCTGATTAACAAACGTTGTTGCTGGGTTGGAGTGGAAAGAGATTGTTGCTCAGTGGAGAGAATCCCTGTGCAAACAGTGGAGGCTGAGCCGGCACCAGCTAGCTTAACGGTGGCGCTACTCACTCCCCCGTCTCCTTCCAATTTCCCACTCTTTCACCCAACACGGACTCGTCCGGACGCCGCTATCCAACTGAGATCTTCAGCACGCTCTCTTCAAATTGTTGGGATTCATTTCCAAGAGGATAAGGGGCCTCATTCTGGTCTCCCGCCACATGGTCCACGTGCTAATGCTAGCAACATGTGACCAACTGCTGAAAACCTCACTCGCTGATTATCGTCCATCTGTGTCCAGGTGTTTGCCCTCTCGGTTTCTCTGATGTACGGCGGAGAAATCCCCAAACAGCCTGTGGGACGCATTCCATTCTTGTTGTGACTCGGCCTCTGTGATTAAAACCGTAATCCAGCTACAACTGTCTACTGGGAAGGAATCAGTCAGCACGCAACAGGTGGCGCGCCCTCGTTTACAATACAAGCATCCATGTGGTGATTTGGAAA